ATTAGAAGACCTCTAGAAAAACGTCGCTGATGTAGGAGCCCTTTTCGCGCTAAAAGGAGGCATCAATATGAAGACCCTATTCTTGATAAATATTGATAATAAGAAGCCCACCATTTTGATGAATTGATATCATTAATGAAAAAATTATTGATCATTGCAACAAAGTAGTTAGCAAGCTCCCACCCCCTCAAAGTCAAAGAGGAAGAGGCCTAATCTCTCACTTGGTAAACTACCAATAGACTTAAGCAAGGTATCATATCGCCTCCACTTCAGGTTAAGCCTATGACATGGTTACCTTAAACGCCATGGCTACCTTAAACGCCATACCAGTGGACCTAGAGGCTGTGTAAACTAAGAAGTTGTTCCCCGATAATCATCATCCAAGGAGACAAGGACAATGGGCCTAAGAATAGGCCTTATATCGACTTGCGGCCTTTATACATATATTATCAACAGCATGGCAATGACACTAGCGAGTGTAGAGATGTAGCACAACCTATAGAGCGGGAATAATCCTTGTGTGCCTAGGAAAGGTAATTGCTCCCCTCCAAAGAATTCGTCCCTACCAATGAAGATCAATGGCCTAAGCAAGAACAGATGAAGCAACTTCCTAGAGAAGACCTCCTCTGGCCATAGGAGGGATGAGGAAAGAGAGGCCAAAAATGGGTAAAAGAAACAAAGAGAAAGGGTAAAAGAAACAAAGAGAACCCCAATGAACATGAACAATGCACCAACTACACCTCGTAAGTAGAGATGAATATAGAAACATCCAAAGAAACTATCCAAAGAGGCTAAAGATCCTCTAATAGCCAGCTACAGAGTCAACAACGGCACCTCTAAAGCAAGGTTAGTTGAGCCCATCACCTTCACTCATGAGGATAGGCAGGCTACATTATCCTCACTGTGATACCCAAATGATAAGAGTTATCATAGCACGGAATGGTTGACGTGTGTGTTGGTAAACAATAGAAGCTTTGTTAACATCCTTTTTGGAGCTACCTATGATAAAATGCTGGTAGATCATGAGCTAAACCTATGAATCTCCACTATATGGATTTATAGGAGATAGTATCATCTTAAGAAGAAATATCACCCTCGCAGTAGAGATGGCCCCTCCCCAAATAGTTTGCTACTACATGAAATTCCTCATAGTGGACAACAGGTCAGCTAACCTAGTATATTAAGAAGTCTCGCATTGAAAAAATTATGGCCTGTCACTTCTATGCACCACTTATGTATTAAGTTATCCATGAAGCGTGGGATTTCAATGGTCAAGAAAGATCGAGTTTTGTGACGTTAACAAAGTGTTACCGATACCGAAAAAGTCAATATCCCTGAAGAAGAGCAACCCATGAATAAGGGAA